GCTCGCTTTGATTGTGTCTTTGTGTGTGTGTGTGTCTTTGTTTGTTTGCATTGCTCGTTGCGCTTGTTAACTTGGCACAGGAGCCCCCCGTCCATCCCGCAAGTCGAAGAAAGCCTCGGAGAATGCCTCTCGCCCAGGGCGCTGGGAGGGCGTTCTGCATTGACATTCATGGCCGTACCCCGGTTTCTTGAAAAAAATGCCAAGCCCTTGGGAAACCTTGTGCGGTTTCTAAAGAGAATGACATGTTTGACCGTAGATGTTGGTCCAATGCGTCCTCAGTAAACATTCATATAAACGTTAGTTGCGTTCCGTTCGCAAACGTTTGCAACTGTTTTTTTCTTCTCGTAAGCAGTTCTACCGTGCCCACAACACGTGCCGCTAAAGAACTAAAGAACAGAAGGATTGCCATCGGATGTTGTGTTTTGTGTGCCGCCTTTAGTCACACAAGGAAGTTCCGTCAACTCACCCCTTACAGGTGGCTTGTTGGGTTTTAGCGGTGGGGGTGCTTCGTTTTAGACAACCTTGGACAGCAAGTTTGGGCTCCATTCCCATGCTTTTGGGACTTTCAGTTAGCCTTTGGTGGCTTGGGGATTTGAAGCCGGGAAGCCGGTGGTTTTCCTCCTTGGCAAAAAGGGGGCTTCGGAGGGCGCCGAGGTGATGGAAGAGGAGGAGAGAGGCAGAGAGCTTCAGGAACTCAAGGCCCGGAAGCACCCGACAGATCACCTGGTTGCCAAGGGGGGCTTCCTTGGACGCTGTTCGAAGGGAGAATATGGGGAACCCTGTTGTCATCTGTGAATTTGGGAGGGACATGGAGGAGCTCGAATTTTCCCAGAAATCGGAAAACACACCCACTTGTCCTGTGCATTTTTCGGGAAACAAATAATTTTACCCCTGGTAAGCACAGTCCCAACCGTAGGTGGTTGCCCTTCTAATTGTACTTGTGGGTCAGTTGTGACTCTAATGGGCTAGGATTGTTGTTTGGGTACCATTTGGCAGGTTGGCTTAAAGCAAAGCCAAAGTCTTTGTTAGACACAGCAATTCGACAATATTGCATGTTCGCTTGTTCGTTCATAGTCAAATTGTTTGCCTGCCTCGAGTCACTCGAGTCAACCTTTATGGGAGCAAGGTGTGGTTGTAGAATCTAGTTGTGTTCCCCTTCTGTGGCTCCCCCATGTGATTTGGCCACACCAATGAGTGTGGGGAGCAGTGCATGTCCTGTGCGCGCTGGACTGACTCTTGGCTGCAAGGCTGGAGAGGGCACAAGCAAAACAACGTGGAACGCCAAAGAGGAACGCGTCCTTCCAATTGCGACACATACTTTACACAGATGGGATTCCCTTCAAAGCCGCCCGAGAAAGTAAAACAACGACAGCCCCAAAGTGCAGTTGACCACTGTTGAAAAGGCCGTAAGCACACGCATAGTAGCGCCTATTGTGGAAGCTGCTTTTGGTTCCCTAGTGGGCAGTGCCGCCGCGGTAGATCAGATGCCATTGCTTTCACGGAGCAGCACTGCGCTGACTTTTGTTTCATTGGCAAACTTAGCTTGCCATGCGTTTCGCCTTTTGGATTCCCTCGTGTCATTTCAACCAGCAAGCTGAGCAATCACTTGGCTTTCTGTTGATCCTTCAAAACAATCAGGAGAAATAAACAGTTAATAGTAAGTAAATGGAAGCTAAGAAAAGACTCAAGGCAACCATAGGTCCTTTTCGAAAATTCATGGCAAGGAAAGATGAAACAACCTGGTCAAGCAGGGGAACTATCTTGTGTCAAAACAACCATAAAGGGCGCCAATGTACAGATCCTCAAGTTTTTTGTTTGCTAAAAGTGACTAACCTTCAGTGGGTTAAATGCGGAAACCCAACCACTCAACCAACTAAAAGCAACTACAAAGCTTTGGAACCGGACCATTTGCTGGTTCCGGCCCGCCACGACAAAGGGGATGGCCAGGATGGCCATGGCAACCAACTTCCATTTGCTTCAATCCAGTCCGCTGGCAAAAATGAGAAAATGTGTCCAGCAGTGACAGATTTTAACTGTAAAACCAGCCGGGGAAAAGCACATATTCTCAACCAAATGGAAGCAACCACTGCAGCTGCGTGGGGACACTTGGCTACTGTGCTCATTTCAACAAATAGAAGCCAGGCAAAAACCGAGAAAAAAAACCGACGTCCTCCGGAGGGAGCACCGGGAACCAGGTGAGGGGCTCAGCCAGGCTCCCCCGGAACTCGTCAGACGTTGGACTTGCATCTACGACTCGTCGCAGGGCCGGGTGGAGGAGCTCCAGCGAGAGCAGAAGGAGCTTCAGGCCGCCCACCTTCAACGCATCAAAGAGCTCGAGGCGGGCGGAGTGGGCGGTGGCTTCTGGGCCGTGGCGGGTTTGGGGCCCGCGAGGACTCCTCTCCCTTGTGGGGTAGGCATAGTTGTTGGTGGGATCCTAAGATGGGCGACACTCATGATTTTTCCTGAAATTCGGGAAACGTTTGTTTTGACAGTTTTTAAC